ACTGCAATGTGTTGCTTATTTCCTAATAATACAAAAGATGCTCCAAACTTTACTGCACTATGCTGCTTACTTCCCAATAACACAAAAGATGTTCCAAACTTTACTGCACTATGCTGCTTACTTCCTAATAATACAAAAGATGCTCCAAACTTTACTGCAATATGTTGCTTACATCCTAGTAATACAAAAGATGCCTCAAACTTTATTGCAATATGTTGCTTACTTCCTAATAATACAAAAGATGCTCCAAACTTGACTGCAATATGTTGCTTACTACCTTTACAAATATGAAAGTTCATATAAAACTGATGCTAATATGTTTTAAGTTGAAGTATTAGTAGAAATTAGTTTATGAGTGGGTCAAAATATTTGCACTTACTTTACACTTGGAATAACCATTGTTGCAATGAGCTTTTAAAATATGTTAATTTGTCACTTGTTACTCCACTTTCGTGTAAATACCACAGATTGAGAGAACAATGATGGTGGAGAAGTTAACAGAATGACCAATCCCAATGCCAGAACCTGAAGTACCCACGGATCTGTGGTGAAGGAATTCTCGATGTCCTTCAATTGTTGTAACCTCACTCCCACAGACCCTACCCACACAGGGTAGTCACCGATGCAGATGGCAACAGTTTACCTGAGCAGAGAAGCCTTGAAAATAAGGATAAAATCTCATCTGAGTATCCACAGAGTGAGGAACAGAAGCTGAGGGTCATGACACACGATGAGCAGTCACGCCATGACTTCCAGCAAAAGCCAAAGAGAGTCTAGAAGCCAACAAGGAACAAAAGCAAAGAAGTGACATCAATTCATGATTCCAATGCCTCTGGGATGCCTGCAAACATCAAGGGACAAAGAAAAGGGGCCTCACATAACTCATGGATGGCTACAGCATGATGGCAAACTCCCTCCAACAAAGCATCTTGACCCAATAAATCCAAACCACATACAAGCCAGGAAACCAAAGAAAGAGCAGAAGCTGACAATCTTACCAAGGTAGAAGTCAGCAAAAGACCAAACTCAACCTCAAAACTGATGTGGGGACCACTAATAGGCTTCTGACAAAATTTGTGGGGGGAGAAAAAAAATATCTCAGAAAAGGAATGAGGGTCAAACTATCCTGGATCATCAACAAAGCAGCCTCAGAACTCCCCGGAGAGATGCTCCTGGACCAAATATATGTCTCCATCTCACAACAATTAACATCACAGACATCCTCAACTGAGAGTGATCCCTCCCCTCAACCTTTGAGAAATGTTAGATAACAGAGATGGAATAGAGGAGGGCTGATTAGCCTCCATGCTGGAAATAGTAACCTATGAATTCATACCTGAAAACAGCATGTTGCAATATTTTTTTAATAATAATTATTATATATAATGTATACAGAAAGCCACCAGGAGATGTGAAAATCGCAACTAAGTATGTGAATTATCACAGCACTTGTGTAGAGAAACCCGTGTCTAAATGCTTTGTCAAGAAAAAAGTAATCAAATTATCTGAATGAGATGCTTATATACAGTACCAGGATAGAGAGAAGATTGACGTAGGTGGAGAGTAAATCGCCAAGAGCAACTGAGTGGGGTATAAAAGACGAGAACAAAGGAGAAAAAATCAGGCCAATGCTTAAATGGTCAAGTATGCTTTGGAAAGATCATTTTTTGCAAGACTGAGATACACACAATGGTATGGCTTGTCTTAAAAAAAAAGGAAATGTGAAAGCTATGGCAGTTAGACTTTCAAGGACTTCTTTATAAAAACCACTGACATTTTATTTACAATTTTTATGACCAGTATGAACCCTGCTACCTGAACTTTTACTGTATAAATTTCTTATTCTCTAACAACAGAAGCTAATATACAATACTTATAAACAAACTATTTTGCATCAGATAACATAAGACTCTAAATAACTTGTAAACAAATTTCATATTCTATAAGAAACTTTCAACATTTATAGATATTAATAGCTGAGAGATAAGTTCAACTCTATTAAATGTTATTTGCTACTCTTTCCAAATCCAGTAAGTAATTATGATTTTCTTTGTGTTTAACTTACTCTAATTCTACCACATAAATAATGGAAGACACATAAAATATTGGTCAAATATTATATATATATATAGTAGTTGTTTTTTTTACAAGCAATATGTATTTTATAACATTATACTTCTTTTTATTATAACAAAAAAATTACAAACAATAAATACAATAAATTTCTTTCATATTTTTATAAGTGAAAGTTTATCTATGATTGTAAGCAATAACACTATCATAAGCTAAATGGTTGTGCAAAGATAAGAATACCAACTCTGCCTGAAAAACTTAAACAAACTCACATCACGTATTTCTTTAATAGACTCTGATTGCAACATAAACAATACGTTTAAATATTTACCACTTAAACATCTATTCATAAAAACACATAGAACCCACAAATCTCCATCACAGCTACAATTTCTTCCAAAAATCCAAGATACCTAAGCCACTTACTTCGATTTGTTGTCGACGTTTTGCTAGCAAACTCTGCACTGCCGATACAATAGATGTGGTTAGATCTGAAATGTAACATGACTCAATGTTTGAGCTTGATTGTGCTGCAAGTGCATTCCTAGTGTGAGACAAAAAATAAAATTTAAATTTAAACAGTGGAATGTATTATACATACAAACATGAAGTCATACAGCATCACAAGTGAAACAGTACAGTTAGAATTGACTGGCATTAATACCTAAAAACAAAGCCTAGTATAACTAACTTGCAGAAGGTCATACAACAGTGTTCAATAACAAATTAATATATAGTTAACCTGTAAATTCTACCCTTTAAATTAGCGCAATAAGAAATGTACATACATTCATAATAATGCCTCCCCCTATAATAATTAAATGACTGAACAAACACTAATATTGCAGTGGGCACATTAATCTCTAGTTCCCCAGATATTAAGTCATTTGATCAGTGCTGTACACATAAAGTCTTGACTGATCTCTAATTAGAAGGTTCTGACACCTTAAGGCACAACGGTATACACATGAAGCTTTAATTCATCTGTAAAGAGTTAATGGCTTCAAAAGACACAATGGTACACACATGAAGCTCATATGTAAACAGTACAGGCACCTAAAGGCACAGTAGTACAGAAAAGAATCCTTGATTCATCTATGAAGAGTACATGCTCCTAAAGGCAAAAGGGTACACACACTTCTGTATTCTTCACAGGTGAGTCAAGGCTTTTGTGTGTACCACTGTGTGTTTAAGACTCTGTATTCTTCACAGGTGAGTCAAGGCTTTGTATGTGTACCACTGTGTGTTTAAGAGCCTGTATTCTTCACAGGTGAGTCAAGGCTTTGTGTGTGTACCACTGTGTGTTTAAGAGCCTGTATTCTTCACAGATGAATTAAGGCTTTCTGTGTGTACCACTGTGTGTTTAAGAGCCTGTATTCTTCACAGATGAGTTAAG